AGTAATTTCCCCATTTCCTGTTCATCTTCACCCCATTAATAAAGAATTTTAATTGAATATGTGCCACAATAGAGCCTATAGGTCATTTTAATGACTCTGCAGCTGTGTGAACACATAGGGGAGGTAGTGCTGTCACTGAACTGGTCCTGCATCTCATTGGGCTGAAAGGTTAATTTTCATCTACCATCCCATCCCACCCAGCAGTGGGCACACAGACTTCCTTAAAAAACTCCCATATTCAGGTATCTTTGTAAGACATGGAGAAATATGGGGGAAATGGATCAAAATTCAGGAGAAGCAGAGAGAGAGAAAGAAGACAGAAGAAAAATTAAAGATAATGGGAACTTCATTTTAAGGTTATTAGGTTGAAATTTGAATTTGGTTACATGAGAACAACTAGAGATGAAGAGATATGTGTAAAATCTTCACTACATAACATAAAATAATTTCCTCTTCTGGCCTCCACACTGCATAGATGTTTATACAAATCAGTTAATAATGACTTTGAGTGGAATCAGTTCCATCATGTAATTTATTCTCAGAGACATTGACTGAAGCTCATTCCTCTAGAAAGAAATCAATACATTTCTTGTTCTGATGTGATTGAATCCAGAACCACTCAAAGCTGAATGGATCAGCCCTATGGAAGGAGTGAGAGTAATAAAACATAATTTTATCTGTTGTAATTTTACTAATTTTAGTCTAATTTCTAATAACTCAGAAATTCAGTGACTTTTCAAGGCTAATTGAGACAGCTACTGATATCATTGTGAACACCAGAACATTTCACCAGAGTGAAGCTCATATACCTTCTTCATGAGGAAATCTTTGGGTTAATGCAGTTGTCCTCTGAGATAGCTAGTCAGGAAAAGTTTCTAGGAGGAAATTTAGAAAATGAAAGACTGAATATTGGCTCAGCTATCTCATAATTAAAAGATAAGGATATTTTTTAAATGGCTATAATCTACTTTTATATCTAAACTAATGTTTATTTTAAAATAGTTTTTAATTTACTGGAAAGTTTTAAAGATGATGTAGAGAGTTCCCACATACACCATATACAGTTTTCCCTATTGTTAATATATTACTATTGCAGATGAACAAATAATGGTATATTATTAAAAATTAAATTCCATACTTTATTTGGATTTTATTAGTTTTTCTCTAATGTTCTTTGTCCATTCCCAGAAGAGCAAATTACATTTGTCCTCATGTTTCTTTAGGTTCCTCTGTGTTGTGGCAGATTTCTCAGACTTTCTTTGCTTTTTATGACCTTGACAGTTTTGAGGGGTACTGGTCAGGTGTTTTGCAGAATGTCTGATATTTGGGTTTGTCTAATAGTTTTTTCAGGTTAGATGGGTTATGGTTTTGGGGGAGGAAGACCGCAGAGGTGAAGTGTCACTCTCAACATTATATATTAAGAGTACATTCTATCCACATGAACTGTCGCCAGTGATGTTGACCTTGATCATCTGAGAAAGAAGCAGGCTTCTCCACTATGAAATAACATGTTGCCCCCACTCTGCTTCGCAAACTGTGCTATTTAGAAACAGGTCACTAAGCATTGTGCAAATTAAAGGGTGAGGAATGGAACTTTACCTCCTGGAGGGTTAAATATCTACATAATTAGAAATTTTTCTGTAGGGGAGATTTTATGTATTCAATCATTTATCTCATATGGACTCCTGGATATTTATTAATATTTTATACTTTGAGCTACAATGCAATATTATGTTATTTGTTATTGTTGCTCCATTTGTTCCAATTTTGACCATTTGGTATCTGTGTTCTTTGGATATATTGCCACCATTGTTTTGTCTTTTGTGTACTTTCTTATTTCTGGCACTTCAGGATTCTGTGGACTCACTTTGCTGTGTCTCCAAGAAGAAATTGGAAAATTGTATTAGAAATAAGATACGGGCACAGGATGTACAATCAGTTTTTTTGTTACATTTTATTTGTATGGGGTCAATTATTTTCTGTTGGACTTGTTGGAGAAATGTCTCTTGATTCTGTCCCCAAGTGAAGAAGCATGAGACATCTGCATATTGAGTTTCTGTGTCTGTACTTCCTTTATGTTTTTTTCATGATACTCAATTATAATCAGTGGATATTCTTGAGGATCTTTATTTCCATTTTCCATCTTGAAAAGAGCTAGGGAGTATGTCATTATCCCCTGTGGACATTAAGAATAGCTTCTATAGATTCCAGGTTAATTTTTAATTAAAATTTGTATCAGTACAAGTTGGGCTTCCCTGGTGGCTCAGACAGTAAAGAATCTTCCTGCAATTCAGGAGACTGGGGTTTGATCCCTGGGTCAGGAAGATCCCCTGGAGAAGGGAATGGCAACCCACTCTAGTATTCTTGCCTGGAGAGTTCCTTGGACAGGGGAGCTAGCCCAGAGGTGTCCGTGGGGTCACAAAGAATCTGACAAACTGAAGGACTAACACTTTTACAAGTTAAATAGTGTTAATTTTTTTTTTTGCTGTCATTAGTAAATGAAAAAGTTTTAGTTTGTCAGAAACCACCTAACACAACATCTTTTTAGAAGCCAAATTTTATGACTAGTATACAGCTTATCCCCTTGTATTTTCTAATGGTTAGGCAAAGGAAAGTGATAAATAGAAATTATCAGGACTTCCCTAGCAGTTCAGTGGTTGAGAATCTGACTTCCAATGCAGAGAATGTGGGTTAGATCCCTGGTCAGGGAACTATGATCCCATATGCCGAGCAGCAACTAAGCATGTGTGCCACACCTATGAGCCTGGGTACCTCAACCAGAGAGCCTGCATGCTTCAAACTACAGAGCCCACATATTCTGGAGCCTGCAGCCATAACTAGAGAGAAGCATGTGCACCACAAAGAAATATCCCATGCGCTGTAACTAAGACCTGAGGCAGACAAATATATATATATATATAAAGATATTGTGTAGACAGTACTTGAGTAAAATAGAGTAAGTAAAAGTACATTGTAATTTTTAAAATTCATAATTTTAATTTCTCATAACATTGGTGTGCTGTACTGACATTAATCTCATTAGTATATTTCAGTCCAGTCGCTTAGTCATGTCCAACTCTTTGCAAACCCATGGACTGCAGCACACCAGGGCTCCCTGTCCAGCACCAACTACTGGAGCTTACTCAAACTCATGTCCATTGAGTCCGAGATGCCATCCAACCATCTCATCCTCTGTCATCACCTTCTCTTTCAATCTTTCTCAGCATTAGGGTCTTTTCAAATGAGTCAGCTCTTTGCATCAGGTGGCCAAAGTATTGGAGTTTCAGTTTAAACATCAGTCCTTCCAAAGAATCTTCAGGACTGATTTCCTTTAGAAAGGACTTGTTGGATCTCCTTGCCATCCAAGGGACTCTCAAGAGTCTTCTCCAACACCACAGTTCAAAAGCATCAATTCTTTGGCACTCAGCAGTTCTTATACTCCAACTCTCACATCCATACATGACGACTGGAAAAACCATAGCCTTGACTAGACAGACTTTTGTTGGCAAAGTGATGTCTCTGCTTTTCAATATGTTCTCTAGGTTGGTCATAGCTTTTCTTCCAAAGAGCAAGCGTCCTTTAATTTCATGGCTGCAATCACCATCTGCAGTGATTTTGGAGCCCAGAAAAATAAAGTCTGACACTGTTTCCCTATCTATTTCCTATGAAGTGATGGGACCAGATGCCATGATCTTAGTTTTCTGAATGTTGAGCTTTAAGCCAACTTTCTCACTCTCCTCTTTCACTTTCATCAAGAGGCCCTTTAGTTCTTCTTCACTTTCTGCCGTAAGGGTGGTGTCATCTGCATATCTAAGGTTATTGATATTTCTCCTGGCAATCTTGATTCCAGCTTGTGCTTCCTCCAGCCCAGCATTTCTCATAATGTACTCTGTATATAAGTTAAATAAGCAGGGTGACAATATACAACCTTGACATTATCCTTTTCCTATTTGGAACCAATCTGTTGTTCCATGTCCGGTTCTAATGGTTACTTCCTGACCTGCATACAGATTTCTCAAGAGGCAGGTCAGGTGGTCTGGTATTCCCATCTCTTTCAGAATTTTCCACAGTTTATTGTGATCCACACAGTCAAAGGCGTTGGCATAGTTCATAAAGCAGATATCGATGTTTTTCTGAAACTCTTGCTTTTTCGATGATCCAGCAAATGTTGGCAATTTGGTCTCTGGTTCCTCTGACTTTTATAAATCCAGCTTGAACATCTGAAAATTCATGGTTCACATATTGCTGAAGCCTGGCTTGGAGAATTTTGAGCATTACTTTACTAGCATGTGAGATGAGTGCAATTGTGTGGTGGTTTGAGCATTCTTTGGCATTGCCTTTCTTAGGGACTGGAATGAAACCTGACTTTCTCCAGTCCTGTGGCCACTGCTGAGTTTTCCAAATTTGCTGGCATATTGAGTGCAGCACGTTCACAGCATCGTATTTTAGGATTTGAAATAGCTCAACTGGAATTCCATCACCTCCACTAGCTTTGTTCGTAGTGATGCTTCCTATGTAGTGATGCTTCACTTGCCTTCACATTCCAGGATGTCTGGCTCTAAGTGAGTGATCACACCATCATGGTTGTCTGGGTCGTGAAGATCATTTTTTGTCCAGTTCTTCTGTGTATTCTTGCTACCTCTTCTTAATATCTTCTCTTTCTGTTAGGTCCCTACCATTTCTGTCCTTTATTAAGCCCATTTTGCATAAAATGTTCCCTTGGTATCTCTCATTTTCTAGAAGAGATCTCTAGTGTGGCACTGGAGTGAGGAGTGTCTGAGAGGAAATACCCCACATCCAAGGCCAGAGAAACCCCAGTAAGACAATAGGCACTGGAGTGGCTGTGAGGGGATACCCCACATCCAAGGGCAAAGGAGAAGCCCTAGCTAGATGGTGGAAGGGGTGAATTCATGTTTAGAATCAAACCCCATTCCCACCAGAGATGCTCAAAGGGCTCAAACAAACTTTATGCACACCAGGACCCAGGGACCCCACAGAGATTAAGACAGAACTGTGTTTGAGCATCTCCTGTGGAGGTATGGTTTGGTGGTGGTCTGCCACAGGGACAGGGCTCTGGGTGCAGCAGACTTGGGTATGGCATGAGCCCTCTTGGAGGAGGTCTCCATTAACCCCACCGTAGAGCCACCAGAACTTACACAGGACTGGCAAAACAGACTCTTGGAGGGCACAACAGAATCTTGTGCACTAGGACCTAGGAGAAAGGAGCAGTAATCACACAAGAGGCTGTCCCAGACTTGCCTGTGGGTGTCTGGGAGTCTCCGGCGGATGCTGGGTCGATGGTGGCCTGCTGCAGGGTTGGGGGCACTGAGTGTAGCAGTACATGCATGGGATCTTTTGAGGGATGTCACCATTATCTTCATTACCTCCACCAGGTAAATAGCAGGGAAAGAACACAGCTCCATCCATCAACAGAAAATTGGATTAAAAATTTACTTGAGCATGGCCCTACCTATCAGAACAAAACCCAGTTTCCCCCTCAGTCAGTCTATCCCATCAGGAAGCTTCCATAAGCCTCTTATCCTTCTCTATTAGAGGGATATCATAGTGGAGTCGCTCAGTCGTGTCCAACTCTTTGTGACCCCATGTACTGTAGCCTACCAAGCTTCTCTGTCCATGGGATTTTCCAGGCAAGAATACTGGAGTGGGTTGCCATTTCCTTCTCCAGGAGATCTTCCCAACCCAGGGATTGAGCCCAGGTGTCTCGCATTGTAGGCAGATGCTTTACCATCTGAGCCACCAGGGAAGTCCTACCAGAGGGCAGACTGCCTGAAAACCACAATCACAAAAAACTAACCAATCTAATGACATGGACCACAGCCTTGTCTTACCCAGTGAAAGTATGAGCCATGCCATGTAGGGCCACCCAAGATGACCATGGTGGAGAGTTCTGAGAAAATGTGGTCCATTGGAGAAGGGAATGGCAAACCATTTCAGTATTCTTGCCTTGAGAACCCCATGAACAGTACAGAAAGGCAAAAAGATAGGACACTGAAAGATGAATGCCCCAGGTTGGTAGATGCCAATATGTTACTGGAGATCAGTGGAGAACCAACTCCAGAAAAAATGAAGGGATGGAGCCAAAGCAAAAACAACATCCAGTTGTGGATGTGACTGGTGATAGAAGCAAGGTCCGATGCTGTAAAGAGCTGTATTGCATAGGAACCTGGAATGTTAGGTCCATGAATCAAGGCAAATTGGAAGTGGTCAAATAGGAGATGGCAAGAGTGAATGTCAACATTTTAGAAATCAGTGAACTGAAATGGACTAGAATGGGTGAATTCAACTCAGATAACCATGGTATCTACTACCGTGGGCAGGAATCCCTTAGAAGAAATGGAGTAGCCATCATAGTCAACAAAAGAGTCTGAAATGCAGTACTTGGATGCAGTCTCAGAAATGACAGAATGATCTCTGTTTGTATCCAAGGCAAACCATTCAATATTATGGTAATCCAAGTCTTTGTCCTAACCAGTAACGCTGAAGAAGCTGAAGTTGAAGGGTTGTGTGAAGACCTACAAGACCTTCTAGAATTAACACCCAAAAAAGATGTCCTCTTCATTATAGGGGACTGGAATGCAAAAGTAGGAAGTCAAGAAACATCTGGAATAACAGGTAAATTTGGCCTTGGAGTACAGAATGAAGCAGGGCAAAGGCTCATAGAGTTTTTCCAAGAGAACACACTGGTCATAGCAAACACCCTCTCCAACAACACAAGTGAAGACTCTACACATGGACATCACCAGATGGTCAACACCAAAATCAGATTGATTGCATTTTTTGCAGCCAAAGATGGAAAATCTCTATCCAGTCAGCAAAAACAAGACCAAGAGCTGACTGTGGTTTGGATCATGAACTCCTTATTGCCAAATTCAGACTTAAATGGAAGAAAGTAGGGAAAACCACTAGACCATTCAGGTATGACCTAAATCAAATCCCTAATAATTATACAGTGGAAGTGAGAAATAGATTTAAGGGACCAGAGCTGATAGAGTGCCTGATGAACTATGGACAGAGGTTCATGACATTGTACAGGATACAGGGAGCAAGCCCATCCCAAGAAAAAGCAATGCAAAAAAGCAAAATGGCTGTCTCAGGAGGCCTTACAAATAGCTGTGAAAAGAAGAGAAGCAAAAAGCAAAGGAGAAAAGGAAAGATATTCCCATTTGAATGCAGAGTTCCAAAGAAGAGCAAGGAGAGATAAGAAACCCTTCCTCAGTGATCAGTGCAAAGAAATAGAGAAAAACAATTGAATGGGAAAGACTAGAGATCTCTTCAAGAAAATTAGAGATACCAAGGGAATATTAGTATATTTGGATAAAAAATAATATTGGAATTGTTATCAATAATTCTGTAGGGGTTCTTTAAATTGTTAGTCAACCCCAAGTTTCATAGCACTCTTTTGTTTTTGTTTTTTTTTTTTTTCTTTTCTATTCATAGCACCTACCAGTCAGGGCCAGTGATTTTCAAAAATGTGATCCCCAGAGCAGCAGCATCAGTATCATCTGGGAACTTGTTAGACATGTGGTCTGTGTCTTACCAAAATCTCTAGGTGATTCTGATGTATGCTGCAGACTGGAAAATACTGGATTTCAAGTTATGCTACAACCCCAAACTTTAATGGCTTAAAGCATAAAAAGTTTGTATCTGACTCAAACTACATGCCAGCAGTGGGGCAGCCAGGAAGACAGAAGATGCTTTATAACATCATCTGTTTCTGTGGTAATGGTAGCTGGAAAGTAAAATACACACTGGTTCTTAAAGCATTTTCTGGGAAGTGACACTTTCTTCTCCTCATAATTCTTCAGACAAAGGAAGCTTCTCTTGGCCACTCAGCTTCAAAGGGTGTATAAGGTAGTGCCTTCCTACCAGGCATCACAAAGGATGGAAAGATAGATTTATTTAGCAAACATGATGAATATCTACTATAGTATTGGGTATCACATTTTTTCCAATAGAAGTATAATGGGATTTACATATGTAATTAAAATTATCTAATATTCACTTTAGAAAAGTAAGAAAAAGTAAATTAATTAATATTAATAAGATATTTTATTTAATTCAACATATCCAAAGTAGTATCATTTTGACTAGAATCAGTGTAAAATTACTAATGAGATGTTTTGCTTCTTTTTTTTTCATCCAAAGTCTTAGAAATCTGGTGTGTATTTTGCATGTATAACACAGCCTCAGTTTGAATTAGCCCAGTTTTAAGTGCTCAATAAATATATGTGACTGGATAATTTCAATTTGAACAACATCTTGAGTATGTCAAGACAATATCTGCCACATAGTAGGCATTCCATAAACCTGTGTAAAATGTTGAATGATTGCAAACCATAAATATTTTTAAAAATAGTTTTCTTTCTTTATCATACTACTGTATTTAGGTCTTGGTTTTCTTTTCAAATTCTGTCCCCTTGTGAATTAATACTACTTTTTAATGGATGTTTGTGAAAATTAGATTTCAAAACTTTCATTAGAAAAATTATTACAAGTATTTATTTTTAAAAATATCTTTATCTGTTTACTGTGGCTGTCTAGTTTTACATCTTAATCTATGATTTCTTGTTGTCTTTCTTGTGTAACATTTTTGTGTGTTTGTGACAGAATTATGTCAAATTTAAGCTGAGCTTAAAAGTTGAACATATGGCCTCCACCAAAATTGATGTTAAAGCATGAGGATTAAATGCAAAAATAATTTTCAGTTAAGTAAGAAATGCTGTGAATTAAAGCTCAAAGGCTCAAGTTTATGTTCAATAAAACTGTGTAATATAAAGCTGCTCTTTATGGCCATGACACCCTCCTTTTTAGTTTGCATATTCCAAGATGTAAACTGTCTGCTTAGTCTTTGTTTGAGAAATTTTGACACAACATTAAAAAAAAAATACAATATTAAAGTTCTGAAATACTGTTTTTTTCTTACTCCAGAGCATCCCTCCACTCAATCCCTATGGCCTCCACTGCTTCCTATCCCCCCCTCCAACCTATGGACTTCCCACATTCCTCATCACCTTTGTCAGCTTCCTAAGCTACTAGTAAGGAATATATTTGCCAAAAAAAGTATTCATTTAGTATGTTCAGCATTGTCTTATAATACCATCCATGAGGTCCAGTGATTTTATAACTGAAGACTACGTCTGCAATACAAACTCTTCTTCAGAAAGTTCCTAAAGGACACATTTGCAAAAAAATTCTTCATATTAAAAAGAGTAACTTACTTATGTGGTACTGTCTTTGTTTCTGAGTTGTGTAGAAAAAATAAGGGCCCAGTGGTTTGGTAAATCATGCCTTCTCATGGATACACTCAATAGAGGAGAAGAGTTTTCTTTTTTTTTTTTTTTTTTTTTGTAGATATAACTTGTGTTTTAAAGGGGAAAATGATCTAAGTAGTCTACATGAGAATTTAGATCATGCTTCTCTAACCACAGGGAGTGTGGTTGGTGAGTGCCTCCAGCTTCTGGCCTCAGAAACTCATCCTTGCCTTTGTGCTTATACCACACTTCCCACACTGCTACCCTGGTGGCTCAGCAGTAAAGAATCCACCTGCCAATTCAGGTGACACAGGAGACACATAGGAGATGTGAGTTCAATCCCTGGGTTGGGAAGATCCCCTGGAGAAGGAAATGGCAACCCACTCTAGTATTCCTGCCTGGGAAATCCCATGGGCAGAGGAGTCTGGCGGGTTGCAGTCTATGGGGTTGCAAAGAGTCAGGCATGACTGAACAACTAAACAACAACACATTTCACATGGGCTCTTTGCACCCAGTGATGGAGCATGGCAGAGAGGGATGCTGAAGCACAAAGATTTCTGGGAGTCACAGAACTGTTCTGATAGTCTGCTCTGGGTGGAGGACCCCTTGATGGATTAGCCAGAATTTCCCTAGACACTTCCATCCAACCATTTTCATCTTTTTCTTTTTATTTGGAGTCAGACTTGTTTGTATCTGAGGGCTCCTCCACACTTGTCTGGCTACCTCCCTATTTTCTTTCATAGAGACATTTCCTTGGACAAAATCCTTTTACATTAATCCAGTCTTGGCATCTGCTTCTTGGAGGACCAGGACTAATATAAGTCCCTTGGATTCCCTTAGATTTGGCTTTTAAAAGAGAGTGCCACCTTATCAGAACATGGTGGTGGAGCCTGAGCAGTGGGACGAGGGTACCCTGTGGGTGCTGGTGGCCTTGGTGGTGGTAGGATGTAGGAGTCAGGGCAGAGTGAGAAGAGAATTGGCAGAAGAGGGCAGTGGTTGTTGCGGGGGCTCAGAATGAGACGTTAGAATCTGAGGGAAGGAGAAGAGTCACTGGGGTTGAAGGGCAGTAGTAACACTGGGACATTTGTTGTGTATGAGGGGAATAGAGCCAAAAATAAAGGATAATGAAAACCATGTGAGAAGTGGAAGTT